TGCCGAGCCGCTGCGGGCTTCCCAGCCCGCGTGGCCGGGAGACGCGTCTTGCACCCGGGCGCGTTCATCGCTGCCTTGTGCGCCCGCCTGAAGGGGTTGCTTTTGGGCGCTGCTGTATCATCGTGCCCTCTCATCGGTCACCTTTTAATCCGATCTGCCTCGTCTCATGAGAAACCAGCTTCGTTCCCAGCGCTGGCGTGCTCCTACTCTTTTATTTATTCTTTTAAGTGGGAAGTACCCCGGCCATCCGCAGCCTGTGTGTCTGCCCGACAGGTACCATGCAAGAAGTAATTGCTCAGTGGTTTTTGCTGGGGAGAATCAAGCCCTTTACTTGTAGTAGTAAATGCAGTCTCTGCTAAAACATGATGTCTGTTGAAATTGCTGTGGACTTGCTGTTTATGCAGATTCTGGCTTTTATGGAAACACCTGTTTGCTAGGAAAAAGACAGACTGTTGACCAGCTGTCATAAAATAATAGGTGCCTCTCACTAGCAATCTGCACAAGTAAGACAGTGTGTGCCCCACTCACTTCAGCTTGCTCCTTCCAGTAATTATCCTGCAGAAATTTTGCCAGATGACAGCCACCATTTGGCACAGGATAGTACTTTGCTGTATGCGAGTCATTCCTCTGCTGTGAGAATAGGCCATATCTGACAACTTTGTGGCCAAGGTTGCATTCTTCTGTTTGTATCATTCAATAACTAGGTGTTACAATTTTACTTTAGAAACACTACATTTGTCTTGTTACCTCCTTTGGCAGGTGTCTCAGAGGATTTCACTGCGCCGAGTGGTGTTTTGTTCGCCATGCAAAGACATTCACAATCCATCTAGAAGCCTTTTTTCACATCAGTGCTTTACAACTGGGGCTCTGTAAATTTCGGTACATAGAAGAAGAATCTGGAAATGATGGTGAAATGCTTCTCTTGGCTATTTTTTTTTTTTCTTTTTAAAGGATTTTATTTACTTTTATTTGATGAGAAACTGAAATTGGTGCCTTCTGCTTGAAGGTACATTGATTTGTTAATTGTTCTGCTTTCTTCTGCCTGTGTGTTGTCGCTCTTCAGGGATTACATACATTTTTTTTATGTCTCTCCTTATTATTTCCCTTTTGTCCATTCTTTTTCTAGTGTCTATTTTCAGTTCTTCATTTGAGCAAAAGATTTCAGGTGTTTCTAAAACAGTTGTTCCTGCCTCTTTACTCTAAGTTTGTGACCTCTACAACAAAAAGCCCCCGCAATGAAATCAGCAGTGGCTAACAGCTTACTGGTAACAGTTAACAACCCAGCACATGGTGATTATCAAGTTAGTAATGAGTCTTCCTTTAAAAACATACTCTGTAAAATTAAATAGAATATACTGTCTAGTGTCTGGAGAAATAATACAGGATGATGTGTGCAGCTCTAAAATACTGCTTTGTGCCTAGATTAATTTCTTAATAACAGTTGAATCCTATTAACTTAGAAACTTGCCTGTTGTTGTGGGCAAAAGTGTCTTGACTTGGGGAATTTAATTTAATTTATTGCCAGTTAACATAAACTTTTAATTGCTGATTTGGCTAGTGAGATACGAAGACGACCAGCAGTTAAACAAATGCTTGGGGGAAACTCCTTTCCTCCCCCTTCCCCAGGCTCAACTTCACTCCAGACACCTCCCCTCCCCTGCTTTCCTCATCTTCCCTCCTCTGGTTGTCCCCACAGGTTACACGCTGTCCCTTGGGCGAGGCGGCAGTAGTGCAGGAGTTATGAGTTGGTGCATGGAGGTTTCTTTCTGCTGCTCCTTCTTTCTCATCTTCTGCTACCGTGTGGGCCCCTCCATGGGCCACGGTCCCCTCAAGGGTGTCCCTGCCCCAGCATGAGCGCCTCCACAGGCTGCAGTCCCCTCAGGGATGTCCCTGCTCTGGTGTGGAGAGCCTCCTTCCAAGAGTGCCTCTCCAGCTGCTTCCCCAACAATTGTCCCCTTCCCCATGCCTGCGCCTGTGTCTTTTTTTTTTTTGGCGCACTGTCACTTGCCTCCTGCTGTGCTTCCCCTTGCACTTTCTGCCACTGGCAGCTCCTCCCTTTCTTAAATAAGCCGAAGCAGAGGCACCATGTGCTCCTCTGATGTGTTGAAGTTTTGGCAGGCAGTGGATTTGGTCTGTTATGGAGCCAGCTGGAGCTGGCCATGAGCAGCACAGAGCAGCACACAGCCTCCCATGCAGCCCCTTGTTACCAAAACCTGCAGTTTATCCCCAGTACACCGGTGTGCCAGTTGGGTGATGCTGGGAGAAAGGTCCTGCCATTGAGTAATTACAGGAATTCCAGTCTCCTTTCATAAACAGAGAAATAAAACCAAACTTCTGTGCTGTAGGTTGCTAAATAGCAATTTTGTGTTATGTCACTACATTGATAACACTTTTACAATTGTATTTGTTATTAACTTGTCCATCTGAGTAGTTGTGTCTGCTCCTATGTAACTGCTGATACCTGGGTTCAGAGGCAGCATGTTTCTGTAATGATCGCATTCATACATGTTTTCATAGTCAGGTTTTTTTGCCTAAAACTTTCTCAAAGAGTTTTCCTATGTTTTTCAGATCTGAAGGTACTAGTTCTGCTGACGCAAAGGTGGCAGTTCAAATTGCCAGGGAAGAGTCAAGAGCTCTGCTCCACCAGCGTGAGTAGCCATGTTCTTCTCTGAGATCATTTCAGTTCCTTGTTGTTTTGTTTGTCCCACTCATTTAACAATTTTGCTGTCTTTTCCCTCTTATCTTTTGGTCTGAATTGCTGCCACCTTGAGTTCTCTGTGGGATTGTGTGTGTTAGAAGAGGTGAACATAGGAAAGGAAGAGATTTCAGGTTTGGGGGAATCCAGCTGTCTTCTCTCAAACCCAATCCTTGAAGATGGAATCTTGATAGAAAAACAAATAATTGAGAGTAGCTGTGTTTAACAGAGGGCTTGGGAGGAACAAGTTTCTTGGGCACTAAATTGCTGTCGACAGAGAAGCCTGTGTGCACAGGGCTGGATGCAGCTGTGGTAAGAGTTGGCAAGAGTGATGATGGTGGTAGATGGTCGGTGTAGTATTGAATCCTGCTCTTCTGTAGACTAACATGCATGCTGCCTTGGGTGGGTATTAAGTCCCCATAACATCTCCCTTCTCTCTTCCCTAGTACATATTGGTTTTAGCTGTACAAAATCTTTACTTGATGTTTAACTTAAAAATGCAGAAAGTTATGTGGTTTTCCTGAACTGTTGCAGGGGACAGAGTCCTTGGAGTGAAGAGACTATGTGTTGATATTGCTCTTAAGCAGACAGGAAATAAGCCATTCTTCTTGCTCCTCAGGGCTTTCTATCCTACACTGTGCCTTAAACATGGAAACTGTAGAAATGAATAGTGTATCCTTGAAACGTCCTCACTCTGAGGATGATGTGGCTAATGCAGACGAAATTAAAAGACAGAAGATCTCAGAGAAGTCTAAGACAGGGAACGACTCTGGGCAGAGCATTGAGACTGTAACAGAACAACCTGACAAAACTCTGCTTGAGGACACGAAAAATGAAATAATCCCCAATGAGGAAAGTGAGGAGCAGGAAGATGAGGAACTAGAGGACAGTGATGAAGATGGAGATCCAGAGAGCTTTGCAGACATGATGAAGCATGGACTGACAGAAAGTGATGTTGGCATAACTAAATTTGTTAGCTTTCATAAAGGGTTTTCTGGAATCTTAAAAGAGAGGTAACTCTTTGTCTTGTTATGTATGTTAATTCCTTGTATTAAGCAGCTGTTGCTCTCCTTTTCCTTTTCTGACTTGCAGGATGCAACTGGATTATGCGTGGCCGTCTGGGAGGTTCATCACTTTCTTTTCCTAGTGCTGAGACTGAAAGAAAGGTTTAATTTGGGACTTTTCTAGATTGTTTTTCTTTTTTTCTTTTTTCCTGTCAAATGGAGCTCCGATAGGGAGCTATCCGTCTGGATAGAAATACATGATTCCACTGACCTTTGCTGTTTATCTTGTTCTCTGGCAGCAGCATACGGCATGAAACCTTACGCAGTACACCCACCTTTTGTACCACTCTTCAGTGCTGGTACAAGATGCACTGGAGAGCGGTATTGAAATCATCCCTCCTTGGCGGTTCTTTGCTTTTCCCTGACTTTTTTGTGCTAATGTTTTTAAACACTTGTATTGTCAGAATGTCCATTAGGCTTTAAATTATAGTCTGATCAGTTGTAATGCCATTTACAAAACATAAAAGGGAATTTCATAACTCAGGGTATGGAATTTTACATTATATACTTAATAAGATGTTTGAGTTTTAGTAGCTTTTTCTTCAATGAAACTTCTAGGTTTTTAAAATTAAATAACATCTTTGAGTAAAACAGAATGCAAATACAAAAAGTCACTGAAGTGAGATTCATTGTTGCCCTGACTTAGCAAAGCAGTTAAGGATACTTTGCGTACACACCAAGAAGTCCTCATTTTTAAATACGGGCTTCATATATAGATCATTTTATATAATAAAGTGATATGTACGTATTATGTATGTATTTTGTCTTTATATGCAGCATTAAGCAGCTAGCATAATCCTTCACTGGGGAACACAGTCTGTGCTGAACCTCCTTCTGGGAAATCTGCCAGTTTTGAACTGGGGTGGCCAAAGGTAGCCGGGTGGTAGAAATGTTTGTGGGCTCATGGTTTTTCTTTCATCCTAGTTTATAACACCTATCATTAATTTAGTCCTGGTGTTTTTATGGTGCCAGTCACTAGCATGTCTAGACAGCTACAGATGAGAGAGAGGACACATAACGCTCCTCAGGAAAGAATTCTAGCAATATGGGGTCTGGCTGCACAGAGGTATGGCAAACGGGGGCTTGGGGGAGATACAGTAGAAACATTCCCATAATGAAGTTTTATTCATCTTTCAACATTCATAGATTAAGAATTTTTTTTATTTTTCTTTCTTTTCCTTTACAAGCAAATACTACTTAAAAATCAGTTAGCAATTGCAACATAGACTGTCTGTGCTTTGTTAAAGTCAGGATGTTTTTATTATTTGACATAGTGACTTGATCGAAAATGACACAGTCAAATTCTTTGTTGCTGTCATAGAGTATGCAGAGCGACTGTTTATTTGAAAGATGTTCTCTATAATTGAATATATGTAACAGAGCTGAATTTGTCCTGCTTTCCTTAGAGTGGCTAACATGCACTTTATTCTTCTGTTTGAAGTGACAGAGTTAATGCATTTGTGTTCACACTGTAGCAATGCAGTAGTCTTAATTGTCAGTAATGACTGGGATTGAGGATATGCATTACTGATCTCTGCAAGCTAGTGAGAAAATGACTCAGAATAACTACAGCAGGTGTTTGGTTATCTGCAAAGAAGTCTGCTGTGTTTAGATAAGCCATATTTTCTTCTGTGTTCTCATGGTATCCTTCCAAGGGGTGGGAATAGCTACAGCTTTCTCATGGTTGAAGTTTCTTTTATGTAAATTGAATTACGTGAATTCGAATTCTTGAGTGAATTCTGCTAACAAACAGCTTCCTGGGAAAGGACTTTATGTGATGGGCGATTTTTATTTTTTTTTAAATTACAAATTTAATGCGTGCTTCTTCCTATCAGATACTCGGACTTTGTCGTCCATGAAATAGGCAAAGATGGACGTGTGAGCCATTTAGATGACTTTTCTGTTCCAGTGGATAATGAGGTAAATTTTGAGGTAAAGATTCGGTAATGGCTATGCTCCTTAAGCAAAAACATTAAAAGGCTGAAAGTTGTTCCATGAGAGTTATTGGATGTTTGTTCCCCCCCCCCAATATGTATTAGGACCCATCAGAAGAAACATTTACGGTTTTGTCAGACGAAGACAAGCAGCGTTTAGAGGAGCTCCAGCTGCTTAAGAATAAGGAAACTAGTGTTGCCATAGAGGTAAAATTAATAAATTATGTGAAGTTGGGGACGGGGTGGGGGAGGATGAGAGAGTGCGTGTATGGAAGGTATGTGCTTTCCAGTGCAGGTAAGGTTTAAGAGCAGTTTGAACATGATGCAACAGGTAATACCGAAACGTTTCCAATTTAGGGTTTAATTCTGTAAAGCCTTACAGATATACTCAAATTCATGCACATGAGTTGTCATTTTGATTTTGGTGGGACTGTACACATAAACTCAAATACACGTCTTAATTTCTGTGGTGTTAAAATTTGCTTGCTGTATTTTGGTTTTCTGTCTAGTAGTATTTTATAGAATAATTATGCAAGAAGGATTAAATAACACATCCATCCTGATGAAAGACTATTTTCAAGGTCAGTGTTTAGTGATTTAGTAGAAAAGAAGATTAATATGCTATTCTGTAACAAGAAAAACAAGAAGGTACAAAATGAAATTAAAACTTGGTGTTTTTAAACATCCAAATATTCCATATAATTGAAGAATACCCGTTGAGCTAAATTTGGGACACAGAGATGAGTAGGATTAAATCTGGTAATTTCAAATAAACACTCACACATTAAATAATCTTATCTGGCCATTTTTTTCCCCTTTAATGCATATAGAAAAACTTCGTTTTGCCAGAGTTTTCATTAGAAGAGGGAATTTCATTAGGCACAGAAGAGAGGAATAAATCTTGAGAATTTTCTTTTGTGGATGTTGAGACTGGGGTTTGTAACAGAGTTATTTATTATTTTTCAAATGAATTTTAATAAATAGGCCAGACTTTTAAAAGTATACCTATTCAGTACTTTAGTGTGATTTGGGAGGTTTTCTTTAAGCATGCAAAATTTAACTCTGAGAGAATCCCTCCCCTTTCATATTACTTTATTTGGTTTCTGCATGTGTGTGTATTAACACAGGTAATTGATGACACCAAAGAAAAAAGAACAGTTATCCATCAGGCTGTGAAGTCCTTGTTTCCTGGACTGGAGACTAAAACAGAAGATCGAGATGGAAAAAAATACATTATTGCATATCATGCTGCTGGGAAGAAAGCACTGGCAAGTGAGTTTGAGTATTATAGCAGTTGGGTAAAGTAAATGCTAAAATTATTCCAAAAAAAAAATTCGTTAGTAAGTACTTCAAGTACAGTGTACCTCCTAATGTAGTCTGGCTTTGGTTTTTCCTGTGTGCAACTGATGCTCTGCATCTAAAATGACTAGGAACACAAGGAGTGTCTCAAATTTAAATTTCTACTTGTTTTTCTTTCCAAATCATTCATCAAATACAACCACGATAGAAGCGAGAGGATATTTTGCTATTTCAGCGGGAATAGGCAAAATAGGGCTTTATTTTCAGTGTTGCTTGAACTTAGCTTTTATGAACTTACCTGGATGTGTAAGTGTGCATTGTGGAAGTAAGAGGTTGTAGTTGAGATGCGTACATTACAGTTGACGATCAGTGTAATATTGACTGTCTTGAAAATGCATGACAAAATTCTCAATGACTTGAATAGAGACAAACACCTCTTTGTTTTCTCAGAGTTATAGTTTTATATAAACATAATATATTTACCATGATTTTTAAGGCTACTTCTGCTTCCAAGGCTAATTATATTTGCAGGAAATTGTTTTTATTCATGATAAATCACAGTTACTATTTTAGAATAATCAAAGTAATGAAGGATTTTCAAAATGAAGTGTTATCCACCTTAATCTTGCCAAACAGTGTTGTGGCTAGTGGGGATAAATTAATGTATTCTACTTTTTTTAATGTTATTACAAATTTGTTGCTACTATAAGTTGAAAGGATTGTCTACATGCAGAATGTTGCACATTTAACAAAAGGTGCTCTTAAGGTTTGGTTTGGTTTAAACTGCAAATGACAGTATGGAAACCTAGCCCTTTCATTTTAAAAATGAAGGAGATGGGGAAAGGATAAGGAGATAAGATAATTTAAAATTGGAAATAACACCATGTCCACATTCAATGTAGTTATTATTTTTTAAGGCTTTTTCTAAGCAAGTATGGGAATGTTGTACTTTTATCGGTACAATTATAATGTGTTTCTGTATATTGTTTAACCATGTTTAGAAAATTTGTATGTTTGCATGCTTTATGCATGGAGTATGTATACTTAGCAGCACAAAATTCTCCTCAGCTGTTTTTGTTCTCTGTTGATTTGTAATAGTTTTACCTCCACCTTTTCCTTCTGCTGCTTCTATTCTTTAACCATTGTTACGGTCAAGTGGTTGTTACTAAGCTGACCAGCCTGATTTAAGAGATACTGTACAAAAGAATTTAAGTATTTGAAATACGCTGAAAAGAATTAGTGATGTGTCTCTAGGATTAAAACATTATCTGGAGCACCATCTTGTGATGCAGTGAGGCATCATCTGTTTAAACTTGGATTCCTATGTTGTGATGCTACAAACACCTGTGCTTGTTGGTGGAGATGTGTGCAGTTTCAGTGAGTGTGTGTAAATGCTTATGAATGTAGGATTTAAGAGTGCAAGTTCTTTTTAGTCAGGATTACATTTATCTTTTGTGTTCATATAGCCACTAATACACCTTACTCCTGAGTGGGTTCTCCAGGCAAGAAACATTTCAGAAGTGTAGAATATTAGAATATTAGCTATCTGATTACTTTTGTCGATAATGTAAAAGGTTACCAGACTTTCCTAAAATAGGAAATTAGAAGCTGCTTTGTGTCTATAGTAAGTTTACACCCAAAATACATAAAATACTGTCTTACTAAATTGTCAGTAAACTGCTGTTTCATCATTGTCCACAAATGAAGTTTGTTGCATCTCCGATTGAAGCTTTCCATATGTTCACTGTTTGCCTCTGCACGATTCCATTGCCTAACTGTCTAAATTGCTGTCATCCACCACCTAACTGTTGGATGCTCCCTAAAGCATAAACAATCCCATAACCATAAACCTGCATGTTCACCTCTAAAAACCCTTCGACAGTCTAAAAATTAAATGCTACTCTTTTGTGCTCTTTATGCTATGCATTGGGACAGAGGTCAGAACTGCAACAGGTAAGAGATGTTGACATTTCATGTTAACAAAATGAAATGCCAACCATTACGACCTCCTAAATAGCGACAAGACTGGCCAAACTAGTAACAATTAATTCTTTAAAAAACCCTATACATAAGTAATGCTTAAAATTCCCTGAAACAGCCAAGAATTGGGCTTGTGCTACCTCTTTTTTCTAGTGCAGTATAGGCAGTAGTCATTTGGTGCAGTGAAAGTCTGCCAGTAATAAGTGATGTGAATTACCAGTTTTGACAATACAGTTTGACATCTATGGTAAATTTTCTATTGATTTCATTAAGCCAAGCCTTTGCCCTTCAGCCTTTTATATCAGACACCACTATCTGTATTTATACAGTTTTAAAAGTATATATCATGGATCCTGATATTAAAAAAGAGATTCAAGCCCTCAAGTTGCAGGAAAAGGTTTGGAGAAAGGGCTTGGAAATACAATTTTACTGTCAAAAATGTGGCATGACTGAAACATAGCAATAAGGACTGCACACTGTCCCTCTGGTCCATTTACCTGGTTGAATACTTTGAAGTATCGGGTGAGAAATAGTTAAATATCAGGACTGTAGCTGCAACCACCCAGTACTCAGCATGGCCAGCAGTGTGGTGGATAGGCACATGGCTGTGATGCCCAAAGCATGAGGAGCCCATTGGTATATATAGTATCTATAGAGTCCTTTTAGTCTAGCCCAGATTAGGGCTCACTTTTTGAAGGGTGTTAAAATGACCGTGTGCAAGATGGATTAGTTAAATTTAAGGAATGATTCCAGCTGGGTAAGACTTTCCTTATGAAAAAGGAAACTCTCTGTCTTCCTCTCTTCCCTTCTAATTACCGAGTTCTTCATGGAGGACCTTACTCTTCAAGCTGAATGCAGTGTTTCATTGACTGTGTTTAAGAGCAGTGGTGGCTCAGACAGGAGGCCAGCAGGAGCATCAGGTCTCTTAACAGGCTTTGGACCATACTGCTCAGTTTAGGTCCTAGGTAACTCCACAGGAGGGGCTTTGCTTAGAAACTGATGTTACAAGGCAAGTGTTGCGATAATTTTTAAGTGATGGAAAACTATGTGTATAGAATTTTATACTGTAGCATCCAAAATTGTTTTTGCAGAAGTGTGTGTATGGACGGCAGCTTCTCAAAAAATACCAAGACTAATTATCTTTTACCAGAAAGTTTCCTGAAAATTAAACATATTCACTGTCTGTGTGGGATATCTGGGCTTTATTAAACTAACGTGAACAAAAAGAGCAAAGTTTCCCAAGAACTTTCCTACATTGGTGTTTATATACTGGAATAGGACTGGCTTTTTCAGTTAGCTTTTGCTGTTTCGCTGTTAAGACGCTTAAGCCCTTTTTATACAAAACCAGGAATGTCTGCTTGGTGGCTACCAAGAGATAAGGGACTACTTATTTAAAACAAAACAAATCCTTAGTTTAGTTCTTATTAAACAAAGATTTGATAAACAAAGCACCTCAAAATTGGTTGCTAAACCTGTGTAGAATCAATCCCCCTTCCCAGTGATGCCATCAACAGTGGATGATTGTAAAAGGAGAGTTTTATCTCTGGAGGCTTTTATGTGCAACAAAAGCTTCACAAATATTTTCTTCCCTCTCCAGAAAACGCCAAATAAAGGTACAGAGTTGTAAATCAGTTGTTAGTCTGCAGGAGCTGAAGTTATCTTACCCTCTGGCCTTCTCTAAACACAGCACAGTATCCTGCTTGAATTATTTAATGCCTCTATTGTGCCAGATTTCTCTCTCCCATAGGACTTTTAAAAAAAAATTCACCTTAAAGTAATTTTTTGTGAGTATACTTTTTTTAGGCTTTTGTAGAGATATGACCCATGCATTTGCATGACACAGAAAAAATCCTACAGAAATACAGAATATGTTAGTCCTATAAATAATAATTGTAGTCTTCCCACAAACTGGGCTCCAATGGTCCTTTCTATTAATTATAGAAGGCACTAGAGGAAATGTGGAGTGGCTTTTATTGCTGAAAGTCAGTGTAATGATAATATTTTTGAGACATTTAATCAGGCAATATGGCAGTTAAATGATTAGGGTATATTTTTAGATAATTTCATGACAAAGGAACTGTGAACATTCATTCAAGATTTTCTAGGTGACAGAATTGATTAAAGAGAAGTTTACAGCCCAGTGGAAGGGGAGAAGGTCTTTTTCAATGTGCTTTGCAGCTTTTGCTGTCAGTAGGTTTTTTTTAAAGCAGATGGAAATTAGCAGAAATAGACTCTTGCATATTTGTTTTAAATGTAGCTGCAACGGCAAAGATATTAATTAAAATTTTTTAAAAATGACACAAATTTTAACCTTTTATTTTTAAAGATCCAAGAAAACACTCTTGGCCAAAATCTAGGGGAAGCTACTGCCACTTCGTACTGTACAAGGAGAACAAGGATACTATGGATGCCATTAATGTCCTATCCAAATTTTTAAGGTAAGGCTGTTGTTTCTGCCAGCCAGGCTGGCACGCAGTCCTCCCCCTGTATGTTTCATTTACTGTAAATGTTATGCTTCAGAATTATGTAAGACCAACACAAGTGATTACTATTGCCTAATTTGAAGCCAGTGTTTACAAAAAAAAAAAGAAGTTATTTTAGAATATGAAACTTGAAACTTGTAAGTTTTGGAAGGAGGTGAGGACGGAACAAAATGATCCCAAGAAATTTAAAAGACTGTACTCTACTCCTTCAATGGAAAAAGGTCCACAATTGAAGTTGGCTGATCTGAGAAAGACTTGGCAGCTCAAAGGCTCAATGTGCGTAACCTAAATTATAAGCCAGTTTTTTCCCAGTGTGTAAATATATGCAAGTATGTTATGAACCTGTCAGATATTGTTGTGATATATGCTGATCAGATCTTAAGCAGTTACAGTTGATAAACTGTTGTTCCATGTATTAATTTTTCCATGGCAACACAGTCTTAGTTCCTTTCACCCTATCAAGTGCAGCAGCAAAAAGATGTGCCAAAGGCGTGATGTGAATACAGTGAATTGCAGAAAAGGACTATTTTAAAATTGGGTCAATTCAATGTTCTACTTGTAGGGAAGCTTCCCCACTTCTCCCCTCCTTGTCCCTTCACCATTCCTGTCCAAAAATAAATGTTTTTAATCTAAATTCTAACCGTTATACTACTAGTATTTGTATTTCCAAACAGAATGGTAGGAGCATAGTTTGGTGGAAAAATGTGTGTAATGGCAATCCTGCTACCCCCTGGTGCCTATAGCTGGAATAACTGGAAATAATCCCTGTGTAACACAGGCTGTAAAGTACAAAGTGGAAAGGAAATGCAGTTTTCCTCTCAAGGAAAGAAATGGATCAAATTTTAAATTAACTTCTCATATTCTCACATAATGTGCATGCATGGTATTCAACAGGTATGTTACTTGAAGTTTAAGGAAGAAATGGACATGAATCTTTTTCAGTGAAATTAGTAGTGGCTGAGCATTTGTGCATTGAGTGGATATATATAAAGAAGTACTTTAAAGCTCATATTCTGAAAGCACAGTTGTGGTAAAAGTGAATCTGTCTGTATAATCAAAACAGAGAAGTTTCTCTGTGTTTTATGTACTTCTAGATGAGATTAGAAAATGTCACACATGTCAAACTGTAGCCTGGTTCAGGGGAATATGTGTATATTTTCTATTTTTAATATAGAAGCTTAATAATTCTAGGTAGTTATGCTGAAAATTGTTTGATCTGTAGCTATTTTAATGTACATAATATCTGTTACTGTTGCTTTTAAGAGTGAAGCCAAACATATTTTCCTATATGGGAACTAAAGATAAAAGGGCTATAACAGTTCAAGAGATTGCTGTTCTCAGGTAAGTGAAAGTATACTGGAGTATTTGCACTCCTACCATGATAGCTTGAATATCTGGTTAAATACCTTGAAAACTCAGTAAGCATGTGACATACATGGCGGATTGAGGTCCTGATCTTGTAAAGTACATGTATTAATGAAGATGCTATGATCCTTTTTTATTCCATGGTGATTGCTAGTATTTTCAGTCAGTGGGTCATAGGCTAGATACATGTGTTTGGCTGAAGCCAGATTGCCTACATGCTCTTACGCTGCACGGCTCCCATGCAACAGCAGAAAAACAGAATGACACAGTGAAAATTATGTCCCATTTCCTTCCTGACTTTGGTTTCCCCCTTCCTCCAGCTGGAACCCTATTTTCTTTCTCACTGAACTCTCTGAACAGCTCCAGAGAAGGCTAACCACTGCCTTTGCTCATCTGTGAGTAGCCAGAAGGGGCAAAAAATGATGAGGAATTTTTCCTGCCTTAACCTACTCCCTTAAGTCCCCTACTAAGAGAAGATAAAATTTATTTTGTCATATTCCAAGATAATTATATGGTTTCTGGGCACTTGAAATTAGTGTTACATCCATAACAGAGAATGATGGATGCCTTGCAGTCATATATTACAATATCTGTTTAGCTAGCTGGAATATTCTACCTGGACTACTATTTACAACTCTTTGAAAACCACACTCCTCAAGTGAGGAATTCCAGGGTTTGAGAGCCAGAAATTTGATCAAATCCTTGTAAAAGGAGGGCATTCACTACTTAATTGTTCATATTTTTACTCCAAGTGGTTTGCATGTGCATACATTTGCACATATAAAAGGAATTATTAATTTGTGAATCGTGAGGAGCCCCAGGCTCTTGTTGCTGCAAGGCAAGTTTGCAAAGTGATGACAATTAACCAAACTTGGGGTGTAGCCATCTCAGGTGCTGTTCCATTTACTTTTAACATGATCACATTTAATGTTGTATCCAAGAGCTTCGGTGTGTTGTAAGCATTGATGGGGGGGAGCATACTGATTTGTGGTGTCTGTTCAGTAGTGCCACAGTACCCGATTGTCTGCGCCATCTTGGAGAAGGATGGTGTAGGAGAGGAGACGTTAACATTTATCAGCCTACTCTGGGCTGAGTACGCTGGCTCTGCTAGTTGATAAACTTGTCTGTCCTGGTGTAAATTTTAGCAGAAGTGTCAAAGAGCAACTTAGTGATGCATATAACAGGGTATGCTTCCAAAAGTACTAGCAACAAAAATGACAGGTACCAGTGACAGATTGGATTTCGTATTCCTTCATCTGCACTAAGCTCACACAGTGGCTAATTACTTAACTCTGTGTTTATGACTGTGCTAACTGGAGTGTATCCATGGTGTAGTTACTCAAGTAAAGCAGAGTTCAGCTTGTGGGGTACAGTATACATCAATATTGCAATATACTTTTTTTTGAGTGCATACTGTAACATAGATGTGAAAAGACAGTACTAACAGTCTTCATCATGGTATACATTTTCTTTTGTATGAGTAGCCTTAAGAATCATCTGGTTTTTCCTTTTAGATGTTTCATTAAAATACTTTGAAAAGGCAACAATAGAAAATTGGGGAAACTGGACTCACTGCTTTTTGTTTTGAAATGCTGGCATGTCTATATTTATTTAATTACCTGCTTTTCTAAGTGTAGGTTGGTCACTATTGTCTGTTGCTTTTTAGAATTACTGCACAAAGACTTGCTCATTTGAATAAATGTTTGATGAACTTCAAGTTAGGAAATTTCAGTTACAAGAATCATCCACTGAAATTAGGAGAACTGCAAGGGAATCATTTCACTGTTGTTCTCAGGTAATATGTTAGTATGTATTTAGACAGTTCTGTTACCTATTTAAAGAAAAAAAATTTCTGAGAGTTATCAGTGCATCTTGTGTTATTGGCAGAAGTCTGTTGAATTTGATACGTTCTATATAATGTTTATGTTGAGCTTTAATATTACGGGGATCACAAAATAGTGTAAGCCCTTAATAATCTGTCTGAAACTTTTTTTTTTTTTAAAAAATGCTAGAAACATAACAGGCACGGATGACCAGATAGAGCAAGCAATGCACTCTCTCAGGGAAATTGGATTCATTAATTACTATGGAATGCAAAGATTTGGAACCACAGCTGTTCCTACATATCAAATTGGCAGGTTTGTGTTGTTTTCAGCCCCCTCATTTTTTATTTTATTTTATTTTTATCCCTGTATAACTTCTAATGTATTTTTGGGAATGCTTTTCTAGGATATTGCATGTGCTGGTTTTAATTTTAGATTCAAGAAATAACTTGTTTCTGGACTTGCTTCAGCAGGTGTCTTGCATAATACCACTACTTTTAATATTGCATAAATCTAAACACTAGTACTTCTTCTTTTGGGTAAGTTGGCTAAATCTCCTTAAAATGTGTTTAGTCAGTTCTTAATACACTTTCCTGTTTGAATCTTAGAGCTATTCTACAGAACAATTGGAATGAAGTAATGGATTTGATATTAAAGCCACGACCAGGAGGTAAGGACTGAAAAATGATACATTAAGTGTTTCTGCCTCTCCTCCTCCAAGAATTGTATGTTCAGGAAAAACACTTCTAGATTTTGATTCTTTTAATTTGAAAGGACGTTTATGAGGACAGCTTTGCACGTCCTAAACTTCAGCCAATTTAGCAGTGGAGAAGCAATTTTCAGACTTTCTGCCTGTTTCTCTTTCCTTGCTGTGCAGTTTCTTGCACTGGGAGTGAAAAGGGACCCAAATACTTATACACAGAGTCTGCTCAGACTCCACGTGAAGGCTTCCAACCTCAACTATTCTGTGATTCTGTTAATCTGTGTACTTACCGCAACTGAAACTTTAATTTTTCAACTGTTTTAACAAAAGGTGAGATGGATGCTTTTTTGGTGTGTAGTTAAAATATTTTTATTTTACATCCTCATTCTAGCTGAAAAGGGATACTTAGTAAAATGCAGAGAAGAATGGGCAAAGACTAAAGATCCAGCAGCAGCCCTCAAGAAACTACCCGTAAAAAGGTGCGTGGAAGGACAGCTTCTACGTGGGCTCTTAAAGTATGGAATGAAGAACATAATCTCTGCATTTGGCATAGTGAGTGTAAAAGTGCCGTGGGGTATTTACTTGAATAAACATTCTTTTGATGGTATCATGATGAATTTGAAATAGACTCATAGATCCTTGATGAGTAGAAGGTTAAGTGTAAAATCTTTACATTTATTCTGCCTTTTCGCTTGAAATACTGCTGCGTGGTAACTGATGACATCTGTAATTAATGTATGCATCATGAGCTTTCCAATTTCTACAACAGCTCTCTGGTACACTGGAAGCAATACAGTTATACTTAGCAACCATGTATAATACAGATCTTAGATTTGTACGAATGTTCAGTATCAGAGTTTTTCTGTTGCTTAAAAGTATAAATCAAACTGATAGTGTGCAAATGAATCAGCTTGGCATAGAGGTGGTGGATTCGCTGTCATTTCCAAGTATTGTAATCAAGATCAAGTCTTTGGAGAAAATACCTCATCAACAGCAAACTACTGGGTCCATTGTAGGAGCTGTGGAATGATTTCTTGTTTATGAAGAAGATAATTAGAATAACACTGTGCTTTCACATCTGCAAAGTTTACTTAAGATTTCAGGAGGCTGAGTATGAATTCAGTGTTTTATAATAGGCCCATGTGTTTGATGAGCTGTTGAATCAAAAAACAAATAATTTAAAAAGCCTTTTGTTTGTTTTAATTCAAGCACAGGCCTTTTTTGTGCAGATTTGAAATGTATAAAAGCATTATTTCTTCACATACCCTTTTCCCAAATAATGAACAATAATCAAACCTGTATACCAAGAAATTGTGTTAGTCTTTTTGCTGGAGAAGGTAACGTTTCAAATATATGCCTTTTTGGTTATGATTGAGAGAAAAAACCTAAAAATACATCTTTCTAATGTTTCTTTTTTTTTTTTTTTAACCACTAGATACCAAGAAATAATCGTTTAATGTATATTCATAGCTACCAGAGTTACGTGTGGAATAATATGGTGAGCAAGAGAATAGAAGAATACGGGCTTAGAGCTGTACCAGGAGATCTCACGCTTAAAGGAGGTAAAATCAGACAAACAAAAAGCCAGTGATGCTGTGTAGTTCAAATTCCTAGGAAAACAAGGCATATACCTGTTTATGTGATACTGCTTACATATTTTCTTTTCCCTCTTGCCCATTTTGGTCCAGTGATTTCTGAATCCATTGGCCAGTTTTATTCAAATTTTCCAAGGAAAGTTAGGTATTATACTTCCATGAGTTGTTGGCCTGCTTGTTTTTCCAAATAGCTGGATAGGAGAGAGAGAGACTGTGAAGGACTGATGGTTCTCAAGAATGATCTCAAAGCTACTTGAGCTATGGAAAACTATGGAAGGATGTTATGAATATTTTAACCACAGAAGTTTTTGTTTCATTAGTAGCTTGTAAAGCAGAGGCTCCACTCAGTTAAAACTTTCTTCACTTGGATTTGCTCTGGCATTTCCCTGGAGTGAGAATATCCATAGTATTTCTCCTTCACGTCTGCCTGATGCCTGGTAAGGGGACTGTTCATCTAGCAGTCCTTACTTCATTCAGCTTTAAAAGTCACTGGAGACCAGGCTGTGATTCTACTGGTAACCGAGACAGCCTTGAAGACTCTTACTTCTTTTCTTGAAAATGTTGTCTATTAAGTGGAGATAAAACACAGTAGTTATCCCTCTCAAAGTAGGCTTGTTTCAATCTAATCGTTCGTTTTAAATTTAGCTAATGTTGACTCTCACAGGCATCCATACTGGTAACTCTTCACTTTTCTGTCCTGATTGTAGCCACAGCTGTTCATATCGAAGAAGGAGATGCTGATAACTACACTATCCACGATGTAGTGATGCCATTGCCTGGATTTGATGTTATTTATCCAAAGCATAAAAGTGAGTCTGACTGTTAACTTACGTACTTACGCTGAAAATATAAGTCTGCTTTAAGATTGTTCTTAAAAGGAAGATTAGATCTATGCAACCTTGGTGACCATTAAAACAATACACTATTTCAGATCTCTGATACTTTACTGTCAGCCTCTCCTGTTGTGGTAATAGTCTGCATTGTAACTTGTTCATTTAATATAAATCTGTTTCAAATTTCTTTTTAGCTAGTAGCTTTTCCAAAGAAAGAAATTTTATACAGAGGCAAAATTATTTATCTCAGCACAAGGGGAAATAAATGGTGAAATATTAATTTAAAAGTATATGCATTTGATTTTGAAATTAGAAAACAAACCAAACTTCTAGAATTTGTAACCCAAGGAAACACTTGAAGTTAGGAAAAAGAATCAGATCTGTCTAACTAAATATTAACCAACATGAATGGTTTTTAAAAATAAAAAAGCGTATCTTTCATCTCCTGTATATACCGTGTATTGGATCTAAATTGTTTTTAGTGCAATAGGTTGAGTGATTTATAATTATCTGCATGGAACATGATATTATTAAGGGGATAGAGTTGTAGAATCATTTCGGTTGGAAAGGACCTCAAGAGGCCATCTGGTCCAACCTTTTGGTCAAAGTCAGTGCTGTATTCAGGCCAGCTTGCTCAGGGCTTTGTCTGAAACTTTCAAGAACAAATAGTCTCTAAGTTCTCTGCTAAGTCTTCTCTAAGCTAAAGAAGCCCAGTTCTCTTGCACTCTCCTCACAGGGCATGGGCTACAACCCCTGGCCATTGAGGTGATCCTTCATTGGACTTAGTGAGGTTTATCAGCATCTACGTTGTACTGGACACACTATTCTAAGTGCAGTGTTATGAGTGCCCAGTAAAGGGCAGTAATTGTTTTTCTTGGTGTGGCTACTGGCGATGCTCCTGTTGCTATTAGCTTTTGTTGCTGTCTGGGTGCTCTTTTAAGTCTCCTTTCCACTGGGAGTCCCATGTGACTGTCAGCAGAGTTGCTCCCTAGTCTGTACCATTACAAGGAGTTAATCACTCTCGGGTACAGGACTTTGTCCTTGCTGAATTTCATGACGTTTCTCTTAGCCCATTCCTCTAGCCTGCCTAGGTCTCTGAGTGGCAGTCCTGCCCTTGAGTGTACCTACTGCCACCCCAACCTGATTTTGTCCACAAACTTGTTGAGGTGAATTCCAGCTCCTCCTCCACATATGCTGATAAAGGTATTTAATTGGACACATCCCAGTTCCTTGAGAAACTCTGCTTGTAACAAGCTTCCAGGTACTCAAACTAGTAGTGACTATCCTTTGAAACGATGAGCCAGACAGTTCTTTACCCATCTAGCAGTCCACCCACTGTAATATTCTAAACTTGGATACAAAGATGCTGTGGGAACATGTTGACAGCCTTGCTAAAGGCAAGGTAGGCAACAGTCACTGCTCTCCCCTCATCCACAGGTGTAATAATTTCATCATAGAAGGCAGTAAGGTTGGTGGGTTTTTTTTGTTTTTCTTTTCCTTTTCACCCCTTTAGTAAAACCATGCTCGCTATTATTCTCATTGTGTGCCCAGAAACACGTTCCAAGAGGATCAGCTCCCATTATTTTTCGCAGGGACCAAAGTGAGTCTGACTGGTCTGTAGTTCCCTAGATCATCCTTCTTGCCCTTTCTGAAGATAAGTGCAACACTTGGTTTTCTGCAGTCACACAGGACCTCCCCAGATCTCCATGATCTTTCAGAGATGATAGAGAAAAGCTTTACCGTGATGTGAGCCAATGCTCTCATCCTGTATCTTCTTCCACTACTGGTAGTCCCTCTCTTTCCTGAACCTTGCCTCTAGGAACAGAGGCCTGGGAGACCTTGATGGTCAGGACTGAGGCAAAGGAGGTGCTGAGACCATCAGCCTTATGTCTGTCACTAGACCAGGTGCCTCGTTTATCAGCAGGCCAACATTGCCTTGTTGTATTCTTTCATTCCTGATGTTGCAGTTTAACTCTGCTTGCTCTTGATGTCTGGTGCCAATTTCAACTTTAGCTGACCTATGGCTTTCCTAACACCATCCCTACGTGCCTGGACGATGTTAGTATATTCCTTCTTTGTAGCTGGCCCTAGCTTTCACCTGCTGTGTGTGTCCTTATGTATGAGCTTAGCCATGAGTTCCCTACTTAGCCAAACTAGGCTCCCAATATGTATGCTTGTTTTCCTCAATATTGGGTTGACCTGCTTTTGTAGTTGGTTGTCCTCAAAAGACCAGTCAAGTCTCTTGAGACTGTCTGCCTGTCAAGAGCTGAGTCGCAGAGCTGGGAAGCCATTTGTCACCCATCTCTGAAACACTTGAGAGGTAAAGATCTGTTTGTGATGAGGTGGAGCTCTGAACCACATTGAGTTAAAAGATAGGAAAGAAAAGCTGCAATTTTTTACATTCAATATATTTATACTGGGATTTGCCCACAGTAAGCCTAACTTACTCCTCTTTAGAATTCCCAACTGCATGAAGTAATGCTGGCAATTGCACTGTAAATCAAAGGCACCAGACAGCATTTTAGCTGCAGTATATTCTTGTATTTCCATTGCTTTCCCTGTCTTCCCCAGGTGTGCATGCACATGCCCTTACTTAAGGATACAAGACTGTAATAAAATCACTCCTTCTGTTGGCAGTGTACTTAAAAGTCCCGACCAGCTAATTTCTTCAGAGAGCTCTCTTAACTCATTTCACTCTGCTGCTTTTTTAAAAATAGAGCAATGGGCAGTCTGCCCCCCTCCCCTTTTTTTTTTTCCCCCCTCCATATACCTGAGATTAGTCTTGTGAAGTTTAGATAATTGGAAAGCATGTACGAGATGTCAATAAAATATTTTGTAATTTTTGTTTTCAGCTGAAATTTTGACTTGCTAAGATTCTTTCTTGGTTACTGCCTCTACTAATCAGGTTATAGCAGCGAACATTGTAGGTAATAAGATTTGCAATAAGTAATTTTAAACTTCTCTGTTACATTTATCCCATATATGCTGAAAACTACTAAATATAAGGGAAGGAATGATCCATGAAAATGGGCTGTTTCAGTCAGCCACACTATGCTGTCTCCTATTAAATATTTTCCCCTCTTGCAGTTGGTGAGGCCTACAAGGAGATGCTAGTAGCTGACAATCTTGATATCAACAACATGAGGCATAAAATCAGAGATTATTCACTTTCTGGAGCATACAGAAAGATTATCATTCGACCTCAGAATGTCAGTTGGTAAGTAGGAGGATAAAGGAAATTACACTTAAATTGACAGCATAGAGTATATGTAGGATAATTAAGTACAAGAACTGTTAGATTGACTCACAGGATGTACATGTAGACTGAAGCATACGTAGAGAGGAATCTCTCTGCATTTCCCTCATGTTTTTTAGGCAGTTGAAGTTGAACCATAGCCTTATTTCTTTTGGTTCTCTGGTTCTGTGATGCATGAGTGTCAAGACTTCTATCTAGTTGTTACACTCCTTGCAAGGGCTTGCCTGAACACTTCATAGATAATTATGTATGTTGAAACCATGATAGATAATATTCAAAATGGGGTTTGTTTTGTATCCTTGCTATGAGAAGGTTAGTCTCCAATTACCTGTCTGTCGATCAGAAAGATCTGTATCACTTAAACCTGCTAAATCACCTAGTTGCTGTATGGCAACTGAATAAATACCTTTTAAACAGGTCACTGTACAAATGTGCAGAAAGACTTGATCACTGATGCATAGAAAAAAAATATAGAGGGTTTAGGAGGGAGACAAAAAATACAAATGTTTACACTTTAATTAATGCTGGTGTTTAAAGCTTATCTACTTCCCACTTACTTTTTCAGCATCATCATTACATATGGAATTTCTGTTAAATGAATGGCAGAAAGAGTAGAATATGTATTTAAGCCCTTGCAAAGAAGTTTAGATGGCTTTCTTCAAAATGAAGGCTTCCCCCCCTGCCCCCAAGTATTGTTAGAGTTGACACCGTTCTTCCCATAACTTCATCAACTATACTTCTTGTATAGCTGAAAATCCTGACAGCCCATGAGGGAAAACAGAGGAGTTATGCAAAGAAACTTCTCACCATTTTATTTTTTTTTTTAAATAATCTTTGTCAAACAGAGGCAAGTCTTCTACATAAAGCTTTACCAGCTATTGCACCATAAATGCTGTCTTACCTTATTAGAAAATCAATTCCATTTCAGTTGTAACTGCCAAATTGGAATAATAATAAACAATATTATTACAATAAATTTATATAAAATACTAAAATATAGAAATTTTATTCTAAATAATTAAAAAATCTTATGTGTATTATAAAGGGAGGTCGTTGCCTATGATGATCCCAGAATCCCATTATTTACTACGGATTTGGATAAGCTGGAAGGAAAACCATTACCGGTTCTTCCTACAGGTAAGTTGATTTTTCTGCTGATGTTTGCAAAGTAGAAGTTTGATCTGGCTGTTGCTTTGAACTGCTACATATTGAAAACTCTTTTAAGGAAGAGTTTTCATTTAACTAGACTGTTATGCAATGGTATTAAAGATATCTAAAGTTAGGTGTCTAAAAAAGGACCCTTATTTCTCAAGAGTGCAAGCAATTATTCCAGCAGTCTGTATTGACTGTTACATTTTCTTACAGGCATCTGTAAAGTCAAGCTTAGCAGTAAGTGTCTGTGAAATGCATGAAGATGGAATTAAGCCACAAATTGTCTATATGCGTGAGCATGTATTATTTGTGCTGAACACAAAAGACTACTCAAATACGTAACAGAACTCAGTTGAAATTTTTTTTATATAACTCTGGTCACAAAGTCTTTTGACACTGCTTTCCAGAAAAAGTGAAGAGAGGCTAGGAATTCAGTTTTGAAAGAACAAAAGTTTGTTGCTTTTAAAAAGAAAATCCCTAAAACACTGCTCCCTGCTGAGAGAAAATGTTAAAAAAAGTTGTTTTATGCAATTCCACTGTGGATTGTAAATTGGAGTGTGGTGGTCATGATTGTTTTTCTTTATTGGGTGGGTGGGGTGGTCGTGGAAAATTTTAGTCCAGTTTAGATGGCATCCAGAATAACCATTACTTACGCTCTTAACGACTTTTTCTTGTTTTGTGTCTCCTCTTTTTCTTGTTTTGTGTCTCCTCTTACCCCTTATGATAGATGGTAAATTCAGGGCACTAAAGATGGAGTTCTCCCTTCCCCCATCCACTTATGCTACCATGGCGATTCGAGAAGTTTTGAAAATGGACACAAGCATAAAAAACCAGACACAACTGAATACTACCTGGTTACGCTGAGTAACTGCAAAAATGACTTAGATTTTAACCTATATAAAGTGTTTTCCTATTTACATGTTATGTACAAATCTTTAAAGATTGGTACTAAGAGATTTGTATTTTTTAAAGTTTTTATTGGTGTTAGCATTTAACTTCAGTAGTCATTTGCAAGATGGTGGCTGTAATATAATATAGATCTTAGTGACTGGTGCTTTTTAATGAATAAGTTGCTTGAGCTGTGTCATGGGTGCATCTTTAAGAAATAGGCTTAGAATAGTTTCAGACCTGGAAGAATGTTTAGCTTGCCTTTTTTTCTGGCAAGCACTGAATGTTTTCATGAGTTCAGCACACCTTGAAGTCTCTTCAAGTACATTAAATTACAGCTTAGGAAGTGAGTTACAACTGAATTAAGATACTGCAGGAGTTTTTGCTAGTAGCATTTGCACTGATGTAGAAGATTCTGTTAGCAAGGCTTTTTATGTGCTGTAAAGATGTACAGCTGCTTTAATTAGTTGGTCTTTTCATTGAGAAAATACTTGTATTTTCCAGCTTTACTAATACCTGTACTAAAGAACAGGTACTGAAAATAAATTAACTTAGAAGTCTACGCGTGTATCATTAACTACTTCCTTTACACATCTCATCTTCCATTGCTGGCAGGAGAAAAATATTCCGGTAGGAAAAAAAAAATATTATAAAGCTATTCTAAAAAGACATTGCATTTTCAGCCGCCTTTTAAACCAAATAAAAATCTTATGTTGCGAAAATCACGTGAACAGAAGACGGTCACCGCCGGTGCATGCTGTGCTGGCTTCAAGCGGTGACGGCTCCTGAACCAGCGCGGCTGCGCTTTCCACAGGGGAACAAAATGAGCGGCTGTACC